GCTAATTTTCTAACTTTTAAATTCGTACAATTCCAACGACATACAAATGCATTACATACAGAACTGAGCTTTATATATTAGATATATATATATATATATATGGTTTATATATATGGTTTATATATATATATATACATATATATATATATATATATATATATATATATATATATATATATATATATATATATATATATATATATATATATATATATATATATATATATATATATGGTTTATATATATATATATATATATATATATATATATATATATATATATATATATATATATATATATATATATATATATATATATATATATATATATATATATATATATGGTTTATATATATATATATATATATATATATATATATATATATATATGGTTTATATATATATATATATATATACATATATATATATATATATATATATATATATATATATATATATATATATATATATATATATATATATATATATATATATATGGCGCCTTTTTCTCGACTCGCTGCTCCCCCTACCCGAAAACCTGTATACGCCTCTGGTGTATCCCCATTAAATGTTTGTTAAAATGTACCCATCTAATTTTACCCCACCTATAAACAGTGACGAGGGTAAGTTGACATCAGCCGTCGACAAAAAGTTTTTACACAATGCCGAGAACTAGTTCAGGAGCGTATCAAACATTAACAAGTGGGTTCGAATCCCTGGGTCACACTGTCGTGATGACGCCACACACACGACACACAGGTGAAAGTTTACCTGGCGAGACAAAGACGGTCAAATAGGGCAGGAGATCTGTGTCATGTCACTGCGGGCCAGTGATACATTTACTGACATCATGGCAGTGTTTGTTTAAGTGACAGTAGGTCTATGACAGTGGGCTAACATCATTCCTGCGTCTGAATGGGGCGAAAAAATTCTACCGCCCCCCCCCCCCCCAACGAAATGAAATTTATATAATTTATATAGAAAATAATTACTTTTAACAGTGCCCCCCCCCCCAAATAAAGTCTACCACCCCCCCCCCCCCCCCCGAAAATTTCAAGTGCCCCCCCCCCCCCCCCCCGGAGAGAGAGTTAAATGAATATTTCACATTGTCAACTCATATTTCACATTTTCACTTTATTTAAATACATATAATAGCTTGAATCTATTAAGTCGAATACATTTCTATTGCATTTTACGAATGATAGTATAATGAATTTTTAGTAAACAAAAGAACACTGACATTAATTCAATGAAATATAGTGGCATTTAGTAGAAGAAAGTATAAAGGCAACAGTGAAAAAATCTTTAAAGTTCCCTTTAGAACCTGATGGTCCATGGGGCAAGAGAAGTGAAGTTCACCTGTTTCTGCGACCTCGGCATATGAAAGGACATTGTGGTCAGCACTATACCCAGCCATCTTTACTTTCCCTAACGTGAGTCAGGTACCTATCAGAGATGGGTGAACTCATGGGTTGCTCTACGGACTTGAACCCGGATTCGAACTCGATACTTTCGATTTGAATAAAAAAAATCCTAATAGAACATACAAATCCTTTAGTCAATTACAAAAATTAGGTAAAAAAAAAAACAACGCACATCTAAACAGGCCTTTATATATATATATATATATATATATATATATATATATATATATATATATATATATATATATATATATATATATATATACAATGTTCTTTAGAATAGACTGCCTACATTTTTCTTATTTAAATTATATTAAAAAAAAAACTTCTTTGAACGCGCATGACTAATAGGTCTAGAGTCGTACAGGTAGGACATTATGTAAATATTCACCTGTCCCGTTATTCACGAGAAACCAGGTAGAGGCTAGCGATTAGCGTCATCGGAATGTCAGGTGGATAAGGTTTGGTTAGACACCCGTTCGTGGGCTGTGGGCGAGATCCTTCGACCGGTGTTCGATCAGGAAATGACCCGTGACAGCTGACTCTCAGACGTAATGCCAGTAGCTCTAACTAGTTTTAGTGATTGTAAATATCCGAATTTATCCTTTCATTTTATTTTTATAATTTTAATGTTATCATTCTCATAATATAGCCGGACCTAGATATTCGTTTAGTAGGTAGGCTTATAGGAATGACCACTGAATAATTATTATTGTTTAGCTTGTGGTTAAGACTAGGATTCGATTAAGGATTACTTAATTACGTGTAATTGTATACTTCTAAGACCAGTACCATAATACTAGCCGTGGGAACCTATCGTTATGACTAACCCATAATTGCTATAGATAGCGACAAAGAAATTCAAATATTTGATTCACTATATATAATAAAAAAACGCAACTTATTTCAGGTCGTGTCCCCCGCCCCTCCTTTTCGTCAGGTGTATAAATAGTCTTCGTGTGTAGCACCGTGTTCAGGTGACTGTATTATTTATTCCCCACATGGAATAGCAAAGTGCCGTTCTTATTTTAACCTTCGTGCATTCAAACACTGAGATATTTCTCCAACAGGAGACACGGGATATAAAGTTACAGAATCTTCATAGTCAAGGTAAGCTAAGTATTAACTAAGTAATCTGATTTCGGTTAGGGTTAGAAATAATGTGTTTTGTTTTAGGTTTAGAAGTTGACATTAGAGCTAGATTAAACTAGATTATATAACACATAGCACAGACTACTTTTAATGTAAGCCAAAAACAGAGTGCCGACATGACTAAAGCAATACGATTCTTTGAAACTGTATTCTAGATATTTATTCCAAACTTAACCCTAGTCCTAATCTTAGCCCACGAGTGTACCTTGCCTTACATAGAGGAGGATTAATCATCTACACGAAACCACACCGCCTAGTACAAATCACATACACTTTACTTGACCCATCCACCGCTAACCACCAGAGGCGTAGCGACCCTTCCCGGCGCCCGGGGACATACTTTCAATTTGGCGCCCCCCTCGGGAGCAAATTTTCGATTTGCACCCCCCCCCCTCGAACTTTTCATTTGCACCCCCCCCCCCTCAAACTTTCGATTTGCACCCCCCCTCGAACTTTTCATTTGCACCCCCCCCCCCTCAAACTTTCAATTTGGCGCCCCCCCTAAGGTCGGCGCCCGGGGACATATGTCCCCCCCCCCGCCCCCCCCCCCTCGCTACGCCTCTGCTAACCACTTACCCACCAATTAACAAATCTCTAATTAACCACCTACACGCTAACCATCACACCTAACCCTAACCATCCCATTAGCCATCTCATCTATCACTAACCACCTACACACTAATTAACCCCCAACACGTAACAACGCCACCTACCACTAACCATCCCTCTTACCAAAACCCCCCACCCAACTAATCATCTAACATGCCAATACAACTAACCACCCACTAACTATCCCATCTACCACTACCCCCCCTAGACATTAAAAAAAACACACCAACCATCTCCACTATGAAACACCCCCCTACACATTAAAAACACACCAACCGCCTCCACTATGAAACACCCCCCCCTACACATTAAACACACACCAACCACCTCCACTATGAACCACCCCCCTTACATATTTAAAACACACCAACCACCTCCACTATGAACCCCCCCCCCCCCACTACATTTCTTGACGTAATGTGACATTCAAACATGTCCCAACCCGTCTGACACTGCTGGCATCCTGTCAACCCATACAAATGTAAATCTCGCATTATTCCACCAGTCTTTGATAACACAGCCCAGACATTACATTTTTTTTACCCGCCCCCCTTCACAATCCTCTCATTGATAATTATAAAGAACATAAAATTATAAGGTCATCTAGAGCAGGGATTCTCAAGTCTTGCAAGAAAGGCCGCGACAGTCTCATTCAATTTGTTTCATAGCCCATCATTCGAAACCTTAGCTTTGAGAACAGAACTTCACTTTGATCATTTTATTTCACGACTATAGCGCGGTTCTCAAACTTCACGAAAATTGAATACTTTTTAAAACAAATGATACAAACCCACATAGCTGTGAAGAAAAAAAAGTACACATAAAAAAATAACAATCATTATGCTTTAAGGTTCTATAACTGCGACACCACCAAACTGAGTTTCACATACCCACATACCCACATACCCACATACCCACATACCCTTTCACATAACACTGTTCGCATCATTTGGGCGATACGTTTTTGTCTATGTTCCATTTCTCACAGTTATTCTAACACAGTGAATTTTATACTATCCTATTCACAAACTGTATTACATGACGACATGTGCATTATCAGGTGCAGGGGCGGAACTACAATGCGGGGGGGGGGGGGGGGGGCACGCCATTTAGGGGCACAGAGCCGATTATAATACATTTTTTATAGTTACAAAAAAAGTAAATTTTCTTTCATTTTTGACTTGATAGTTGTTTTGTAAAAAATTACCGTAGCTGCGGTTGGATTATCTTTATTCTATAGACACCACCCCACGCTCTTGTATATTCATTTTCCCTTTGTTTTTAAACCACCGTGAAAGCCGATTCTTTCTCCTACAATTAAACTTATCAAAGATAAGCAAATGTTCAAACCACTTCCATGACTTATTTCCCTTTTTTAAAAAAATAGTCAAATAGAGGTGACCATAAGCTCCTTTTAATAAATTTGTACTAAACAAATTAAAAAGCAATTACTTCTCTTAATTATTATTTTTTTATAATTAATCACTAAAGAATGACATTGTATAAAAAAGAAATGTATTAAATCAATAATATTTAAAAAATTAATAATATAAATACAAAAAATAAATAAATAAACATAACACGAGACACCATTACTTATACAAAGCGTTCATGTTTTATATTATTTTGACCGAATAGAAGTAGAGAGGGCTTCTAGCAGATTTGAATTTAAAAAGAAAAAAAAAATAACACGCAAAACATACTAATGCACTTACACACATGAAATGATGTTAAAATTTTTTTTAATTGATGTTTTTCAAATCCCGAACAGGCCAGCAATGAGCATCCCATGTTCGTATTTTGTGATTTTATATATATATATATATATATATATATATATATATATATATATATATATATATATATATATATATATATATGTATACATACATATACATCTACATAATATAGGCCTATTTATATATCATATATAGGTATATATATATATATATATATATATATATATATATATATATATATATATATATATATATATATATATGGGGGGTCTAAATATTTTTTTTGCGGGGTGGCCCTTTTTTTCTAGTTCCGCCACTGATCAGGTGTTGACTCCCTACACCCCTCCTCCATAGTGTATGACAATGGTGTTACACAGTTAACAAGCGTAACATATTGCAAAAGTTATTCCATTCTATGCAGAACACATACGAATGAAAGACAATTTTACTGTAACCTACATAAGCGCCAGCAAGTTGATACAAGTCGATTGTCTAATTTCCAAAGCAGTATAAGTTTTATTTGTTAAAAAGTACATTTTGCAAGACCATATAACTTTTTTAATGTATTTACTTCGCGAGATAATAAACCTATAACTTCTTTTAAATGTACACTTCGCTAGACTATACATGGATTGAAATATAATATTGCAAGACTATATAGACTAGCTGTTATATTAACAATAATATATACACTTTGCAAAACCATCTCATCGGTTTATCAAAAGATACATTTTGCAAGAATATAAAACAATCTAATTTAATTACTTAGAACTTAAAGAGATTTAAAGTCTAGAGTTTCTTTCAGCTTAACGTTTCCGTTCCAAGGTGAAGACCTCTACAAGTCGTGTCCTATTTCTAGGATAAACAGGATAGTTGGGATGTTTGGGATGTATCCTGTAGACAAACTAACGCAGACGGTACTCATGTGACCTAAGGATAGCAACCTTATCTTCAGTCGTTAGACGAAAGTTAAGTGCTGCTATCGATAGGGGTTCTTCTTACCTAGATAGCGCCGCGATGCCGGCCTGCTTGAGATAGAGTCTATCTAATCTAGACAAGGTGGGCGTCAACAGGGTCAAAGTCGTTAACAGTATATAATTTCAGTTTTGTTTGCACACATTTATAGCTTGAAAAGTTGTCTTCGGGAGGGTTCGGGTAGTTTCGGGTATCTTCGGAGAGTTGAGTTTCAGAGGGGAGGAATGTTGGTACTTTCATATTGGAGTTGGGTTAAAGTTCATTTGAAGGATTTAATTTACAGCTCCAAGCAGGGCTACTGGCTTCTTCATGTTTACGCAGCTGTTTGTTTATGGCTGTGTTTATTTAGATGTGTTTTTGATGTATGTTTGTATCATATACATTTGTCTTGATATGCCTATTCATGACTTAATAGCGTTACGTTTGTATCTGTATATAATTGTATAATTTTATAGCTATATGTTATTGCTGAATGCATATATAGCTGGATGTTATAGTGGTTAGTTTATGGATGTATGTGTAAATCATTATATGTTTTCATTTTTACTTAGCTTTATATTTATATTGCTGTTTGTAGCTGTATGTCTAAATGACTGTTTACATAGCCTCTTTGGAATGGCGCGGTGGAATCGTAGAGCCTTCGTCTGCTAACCCGAAAAACTCGAGTTCGTGTCCCTGGCTAGTCGTAGTACGTCCTTGAGTCCACCCAGCTCTAATGGATAACTGGCTTACGTTAGGGAAAGTAAAGGCGGCTGGGCATAGTGCTTAACACATTATCCTTTCATATGCTGAAGTCACGGAAACTGATGAACTCTACTTCACCTATACCGTAGGCCGCCATGGCCATAAATGGAACTTCACATAGCAAGTATAGTTGTCGGTATGCCATGTTGATCTAATTTTCTGTATTTTTATTTGAAAAATTCTTTATGGCGTTCTGTTTCTAATCCATCATATCCCCTCCCCGGGCCTAATAAATTTTATGTGTTAAACAATTAGATCTACAACGCCAAACTAATTAACACAAATTGTCTTTGTAGGGAAGTGATAATGAATTGTTTTCCTGTTGGGATTTTTATCCTCAATGTCGAATGAATGCCCCTCCCCTCCCTCCCCTCCCACTTTCCTTGTTCACGTACTCTATTCTTTCCTGATTCTGTTTTTTAAAGACTGGGTGGATGCAGTGGTCACTCCCTTGTCATGTATGACATTTATCCAATATCCGAGAGTGGGCGAGACTCTGACCCCCCCTCCCCCCCTAACCCCCCCCCCCCCCCGTTGTGTTTGGGGAATTGTGTAGTGGTACGCCGCTGGGGGTAAGTACCTCTGCCCTGGCCACCCTTCACCCCCTTGTAAGCTACTAAAGGTCAAAGCTCAGACGAAGTGGTGTATTGTGCGTTTATGAACCTCCCACACGTCCGCGACAAGCTCCATTTACATCGTGTTGTGAGTAATTAACACAGGGGATAATTTTTTTTCTTCCAGTCACCGATATTGGACTCTTCCAAAAATAGGGATGTTAGGTTAGTAGTGGTATATTATCATGTTAAAAATACTATACTTTTAAGGGTGTTATTGTTAGATTTGTGTATGTGTGTGAAGACTGGGGGGTATGTGTTATACGAGTGTCAGAGA